ACAATGCGCTTCACAGTTCTTCCTTCATCATCTACATACTCTTCTACCTCTGCCCCTTCTGGAATTTCAGGCATTTCGATCGTAGATGTTTCCATGGGCTCTCCTGGCTGCATTACGACTCTTTTTGTTGTTGTTGTTGTCAAAGTGCGTTTGATAATTCGTCGAACAGTTCGGCCTTGGTCATCAATATATTCTTCAACTTCCCCCTCCTCCTCTCCTGGAGTTTCCACAACTTCTTCAGGTATTACTTCAACTGTGTCTTTAGTATCCTCTGGTCTCTTTGATGTTGTAATTGTCCTAGTCGTTATTGTTTGTTTGACAATTCGTCGAACAGTTCGGCCTTGATCATCAACATATTCCTCGATTGTTTCATCCTCCCCTTTTGGTGTTTCGGATACTGCCATTTCTGGTTCCTGTGTTTCTGTTACGGCCCTTATTGAATCATCAGGCATTTCTACGCCTTCTATTACATCTTGAGGTTGGGCACCTTTTTGCTCTGGTCCTAGATCCTCCATGTCATCGAATGCAGGATTAAAAATACCAACGTCAAAGGACGGTAAAGCAGGCTTTGGTGTTTTCTCTTCATCATCGAAACTCGGATTCCAGGGACTTCTATGAATCGTCTCTGGATCTACAGTTTCAACCACACGAGAAGTACTAGGCATAATTTTTGGCTGTTTCGGTTTTATGTCTTCTGGAAACAAAATTTCATCTGGCAAAATCGAGACTTGCTCCTGTTCGTACGGAATAAAGTTTTTCGGGAGTTTTTTCTTTCTTTTTATGTTTACAACCAAAATAACTTCCCTCTCTTCAATTGTGATATACTCGTCTTCAGGTGTTGGCGCCACTTCTTCTTTTGGCGATGGTTTTATCTGTACTGCCTTCTTAACTTCTTCCTCCTCTTTCTTATGTGGAGAAAGCTCTTCAACGGCTTCTGGAATTTGAGAGGCAGCAGCTGCAGCTGGTTCTGGTACTTTAGTTGCCTCAGGTCGTGATTCAAGTTCATCTAAAACAGTAAATTCCGTAATAACGTCCCTTTTTACATCAACGCTACCGATAGCTTCCTCGGTAGCCAAAATTCCTATGTAAGTCTTCTTCTTTGTTGGTATTTCTGGGAAATCAATAATGATATCCTCGGGAGCTTCTGGTCTTTTACGGTCAGTAAAAGATGGTTGACTAGCGTGATCTTCAAAAAGTATGACGCTTGGCTTGTGTTCAAGGTTCTGAGGTATTACTTCTTCCATGACGACAGGGCCTTCGAACTCTCTCCTTTCAGGAGTGCTTGGGTACAACACCTCATCTTCTATTGAAACGTCCGTTGGTTTTGGACGAGGATCTTCTCTTCTTGCCTCAAGCCAATCCGGCAAATCTACGCCTCTTTCCAAAACCATAGGTACGAGATTAGATTCCTCTTCTGGTTCATCGACTTCCATATCAGGTTCAGGTTTCTCTTCCTCTGGTTTGACTTCYACATCAGTAGGTTTGACTTCCACATCAGTAGGTTCTGGTTCTTCGTCTGGTTGTAGAACAATTGGCACACCATTCCTGTACACGATTCTAGTAGTTGTGGTGGTAACATATCGCTTCACGATTCTCTTAACACGTGTACCATCTTCATCAACATATTCCTCGATTACCTCATCGGGTTGTAATCCCTCTTCCAAAGGTGCTTGTTCTTCCTTTGACTGCAGAACATCTTTGTCCTCAGGCTCGAGATAAACTGGTTCAGCAGATTCAAATATTGACTTGCCCTTATCTGGTTGTTCTGGTGGTGCTTTTGATTTTGGTTCATCGAATCGTGGCTTCTTTTCGACGGGTTGTTCATCTGTTCCGGCTGCTTCTGCTTGTTTTTCTTCCTCTGGTTTGACTTCCAYGTCAGTAGGTTCTGGTTCTTCGCCTGGTTGAAGAACAATTGGCACACCATTCCTGTACACGATTCTAGTAGTTGTGGGGGTGATATGTCGCTTCACAATTCTCTTAACACGTGTACCATTTTCATCAACATATTCTTCAATTTCTTCGCCTGGTTGTAATTGCACTTGCTCAAGGGGTTTTACTTCTCCTGGTTCGAATTCCACATCAGTAGGTTCTGGCTCTTCACCTGGTTGTAGAACGATTGGCACACCATTCCTGTACACGATTCTAGTAGTTGTGGTGTTGATATATCGCTTCACTATTCTCTTGACACGTGTACCATCTTCATCAACATATTCCTCGATTGTTTCATCTGGCTGCAGTTGACTTTCTTCAGGCACCTC